TTGATGAGATGTACTGGTGAATTGTAGAAATGCTCTCACAAATGCAAAATCTAAGTAATGGATGGCCTAGAATAAATTTTATACATCAACCAAATGAGAATAAAAATTACATTGCCTCTATTGTGAATATTACAGGAGTAATGTCAGGTCCAGTGAACGGGGGTCAAAGCTAGGTTTCAATTGCCTTAAGCTAAGAAAGGAATGTGCATTTTTCTTGCTTTTTTCCATCTGTGGGTGAGCTATATAACTCTAGAGCCCCAATTCAGGGCCAGGCATTAAGCTTTACCCTAAGGATACAATGCAAGATACCACTTCTTTCTCCTGCAGAGACTGTAAGGAGGTATGAAGGGCTAACATCACTCAAAAGTAACAATCCTATTCCCTACCAGGTAAATATAGCATTTTGCTTTTATCTTACTTCAAATTCCTAAGAGTTGGATGTTCTTTGAATCAAGCCATTGGTCACAGGTACTTGGCTGTTGGCCAGCCCACAAAGTTGAATTGCCAATCCTTAAGTCAGATACCTGCTTTTATTTCAGTTAGCTGTGACCAGGAAATGATATAATTGGCTGTGGTACAATGCCACTGGGGCCAGGGCCTCCCCACAGAAGCCAGTTTCCCTTGGAGAGGATCTGGGCAGAGAGACACCAGGACATTATTCTACCAGGGGAAGGGTTTTCCAACAGAAAGAATAGCATGTGCAAAGTGAAGTCAGTGTGGCACAGTAATGCGCTAGGTGGAGGAGTGTGCAGGTGGAGGGCAGAAGGGTTGGTCGTGACTGGTGGTGAGGCTAGAAAGGAAGGCTGGGAAGGGCTGGCTGGGGTGGCCTTTGACCCCTGGCTTTGGAAGTCAGGACATTCATTCCTTGTGAGGTGGAAATGATAGTCAAAGGGAATTTTCTGAGATGGGGTCCCCTGTGAATTGGGGTCTGCCCCAGGTGCCAGAATGGAAATCTCTGATCATTATAGTCAGAGATCATGACCACCCCCCCTCAAAAAAAAGATTATTTGAGGGGAAATCCTTAATTCTCTGGGAATTATCTTATGACAGAAAAGAAGATCTGGCTGGCTGAAGATGGAATATAGTATGAATTTTGGTGTCCCGGGATGAACCTGGTCCTTATGATGCCCAACTTCTACAGGTGAGCAGCCAGGAACACACTGGCTCAGGAAGCATGGCAAATGGGTGACACCCAAGTGTCCTCTCTCTTCTATTAGCCCCATTTGTGTGTGGGGGGGGGTGCGCACTGATCCTGGGGCTTGAACACAGGGCCTGGGTTCTATTCTTGAGGTTTTTGCTCCAAGCTAGTACCTACCATTTGAACCACAGCTCTACTTCTGGCTTTTTGGGTGTTTAATTGGAGATAAGTCTCACAGACTTTCCTTCCCTGGCTGGCTTTGAACTGCAAACCTCAGATCTCAGCCCCCTGAGTATGAGCCACTGGTACAGGCTTCAAAGGACTCTCTCATAAAGATACCTGGGGGGGCTAGGAAGGTGGCTCAGTGGTAGAGCGCTTGCCTTGCATGCCTGAGGCTCTGGGTTCGATTCCTCAGCACCACATAAGCAAAAACAAAAAAGCTGGAAGTGGCGTTGTGGCTCAAGTGGTAGAGCACTAGCCTTGAGCTGAAGAGCTGAGGGACAGGGCCCAGGCCCAGAGTTCAGGCCCCACAACTGGACCCCCACCCCCCCAAAAAAGATACCTGGGACTCTTAAATCGGGGCTGCTGTTTTACACTGGTCTTGATATCTCCCCCAAGTACTAGTTTTATATATATATATATATATATATATATATATATGTATATATATGTGAATAAAAAACATGAGCATTAAGTGATACTATCAGTTCATTTCACTAAATATCTCACCCTAAAAATAAGACCCGAATAAAACTTTATATCCCACAGGAAGTACCTGAAACCTTGACTCTAGTTTTCAATTTTTTTAACTTGACTTTAGAGTCTCACTAGCCTGGGTGCAGGCTAGTGCCCTCATTTCTAAGCATTACTCTATGTCTTACAGATTGCGGTGCCTCACCTGTACCATAAACTAACACTACTAACCTTTAGAGCTGTAATAAGGATTAAACGGTATAAAGTAACGATGGCCCCAACTACATAGAAGTCACTATTATTATTAATTATTGTTAATGGGATGGTACTGGGTACTAAAGTGGGAATCTAGCAAATACTCATCATTAAATGTCATGCCTACTGCAAATCTATTTCATCACACAGCTGTGAAGTTCAAATGAAGAATGCATGTTCAAGTGTTTTCAAAAGTGCCACATGAGCTTCAGGGACGCTGATGTTAGATGTGGGAACTCTTAAAAGTCAAGGTTGCAACATGGAAGGCAGGAAGATCCTAGATTCAAAAAAGAGCTGAAGCCATGGAACAAAATAGTGAAATCAATCTGTAATTTACATCTGTTTTTAAAGTCAGTGAAGTTATTTTATACCACTTCTGAGACTCAATTGTGATTTATCTCACTTAACAATAGCCACTAATTTTCTCCATATTGATCACAGATTCTTCATCAGTTTGAAAATTATCTGGTCCATTTTTAATAGGCTTTCACACTTCCACATATTTGTAAAAGAAGTAGGATTATTCCCTTTATATGCAAATATCTTAAGTACTGAAGATTGAACTGAGTCTTAACACTTGTTAAGCAGGTCATGTCCCCAGTCCTTTTGCTTTTAGTTTGTTTTACAGATAGGGTCTCACAATGACTTTGCCCATGTTGGTCTCCTTTGCTCCCCTACTCCACCTCCCAATAGCTATGATTGCAGACCTGTACCACCATGCCAGGTGGCAAAATCTTTTACTGGCATTTCTTTTCCTTCCTTCCTTCCTTCCTTCCTTCCTTCCTTCCTTCCTTCCTTCCTTCCTTCCTTCCTTCCTTCCTTCCTTCCTTCCTTCCTTCCTTCCTTCTTTCTTTCCTCAGGGTCAGCGCCCAAGCCCTAAATTCAAACCCCAGGACTAACCTAAGAAAAAACAACAAAGATTCTCTTGGTAAAAGTTACTTCAAAGTCACAATCATTTTCATCTCCACATGACCCAGAGAAGTAGATTTACTAGTGGAGAGAATACTAATTTGAGAATGTGATAGATACTTTCCAAAGACGGCTACCATAGTTCCCTAGATAGAATGCAATGCTCTCCCCTTGAACATGGGCTGGCTTCAGGAGGTTGATGGGAATCAGATGGATACAGCTGAAGTGATACTGCAGGAGTCCCAAAGCTAGACAGAAAGGCAAGTCCAGCTTCTACTTGCTCTCTTGCTCCCTCCTGAGGCCAGCACCAGGTTAGACCAACAGGTCATATGAAGCAGTCCCAGCTGCACCCAGACTTGGAGCCATCAGAGGCATGTGAGTGATGCCACGCTCACAAATTCCAGCCCTCAACCATTTAGACATTCCCCACCATTTGTTTCCCAGATGAAGCTCCAGACATTGTAGGGCAGAGATAATCTGTCCCCACTGTTTCCTGTTTGACCTCTTGGCCAACAGAGAGTAAGGAAATCAGGCCCATCTTCAATATTACTAGATTTGGGGTGCTTAGTTAGAGTCAGATCAGAATCAGCCAGAAAAAATTCCCAAGCCCCCAATAGCGAGTGGAGATGGTGGATGTCATGGGGGCAGGACTCTGCATGGGCCACATAAATTCTCAAACTGTACATCACATTCCCTAGGATAGGAATAGCCCTCCTGTCATGGTGTAGAATGAAGCTAGAGAACAATAAAGACAGAGAGCTTTTCTGCACCAGCGCTTGTGAAAAGCCAGCAGTGCAGACTGCTCCTCAGAAGAGCTTTCTGGCAGCTTGAAGAACAGCAGGCTGTGACTCACAGATGTGCTTTCTGGGAAGTTATTAGCCCATATCCTCAGATCTGACTTAATGAATCTAGGTGGAGCTCTCCACACTGGGTGAAAACCAAAGCCAAACTCTCAGAAGTTCCCAAAGGCAGACAGACAGACTGTCAGACAGATGGCAGGCAGACTCACTAGGCAATGCTGACCCTGCACTTACATGATAACATGGCAACTTGTGGGAATGCGTGCATCTCCTTCTGGTGATGGGAACCAATAAGACCCCGTGAGCCTTCCAGAAGTACCTGCTTTGTGCTCTGAAACACACAGCCCAGGCCCCAGGGTCTCTTTATGCAAATGTGTTCAATGGGCACTTCAGGGCTTAGGCCTGTCTCTGTTGATTCTACTCCTAGAAGAAAAACCACCTCTTTCTGTCTTCAATAGAAATAGAAAGTTATCTCCAATTAATCACTTTTCTGCAACTAATCCCCTAACTAATTGTTGTAGCAACAGTTAACAGCATGTCTTTTGATATTTAAAATGGTTTTGTTGTTGATTTGAGTTAGGGACTTGCTATGTTGCCCAGGTTAGCCTTGAATTCCTGGGCACAAGCAATCCTTCCTCAGCCTCCTAAGTATTCAGTGACTACAAGTGTGCATCATGGCACCAAGCAAATTAAGTCTATTTAAAATGATTATGATGCATATCTCCTGCCTCTGAGACTTTCCCACCTTCAGCCTCTAAAGCTCCTGAAAGAAGAGCTCTTACTGAGCTGGTATACTACCTGTGAAGGCTGATTGTGTTAGGTATCACCTGTAAAATAAAGACAATCCTTCTAGACAAGCACCAGTGTGGCTTGTAATAGTAGATACTCAGGAGGCAGAGACCAAGAGATCATAGTTCAAAGCAAGCTTGGGCAGACAAATCCATGAGACTATCTCCAAAATAATATAAGCAAGCAAGCAAGTAGTCCAGGGCACTAGAAAAAGCTCAACTAGATAGACACAGAAGCTCAGAGGAAAAGATGTTTGTTTAGGTTGAGACCTGGGGAATGAACAGGCAATCTTCAAGGTATGGTGGAGGATGAGGTAGAGGGGGAAGCAGCTCAGGCAGAAAAATGCGAGGAGGCATGGTATTTATAAGAAACTACAAGCGATCAGAACGCGCCGCCGCCGCTGCCGCTGCCGCCATCGCCATGAACAGCGTCGGGGAGGCTTGCACCGACATGAAGCGCGAATACGACCAGTGCTTCAACAGCTGGTTTGCCGAGAAGTTCCTCAAGGGGGACGGTTCCGGGGACCCGTGCACCGATCTCTTCAAGCGTTACCAGCAGTGTGTTCAGAAAGCAATAAAGGAGAAAGAGATTCCTATTGAAGGATTGGAGTTCATGGGCCATGGCAAAGAAAAGCCTGAAAATTCTTCTTGACCTTGCTTGTCACCTTGAAAATGGATTCCTCATATCAGGAAATTGAGAGGACTTTGGAATTTGTCAGCTTAAGGCTATGAAGTCATTACTATTTAATGAGTTTGGGAGGAAGTTGCCTCTTCCTCCCAAGTGTAAAGATGCTGCTTTGAGATGATTTCTCACTTGCTTTGGCATCTCACAGGAATTCACTGTGCTAAAGTGAACAATTTCTTGGGATATGGTTGCAATATATGGTCTGGAATCAACTTCAAATATACCTTCTGCGTAAATCATGATAAGCTAGTCAAGGTGATTGGGGCTCCTTGACCTTTGATTTCTGCTGCAAAGGACATTACATATACAGTATGGGGGTCCTTGTTCATGAAAGTAGTCAGGACCTTTTTGTTTCCTCAGGGAGCTAATGCTCTAAAAAGGGATCCAAGCAAGTTTTGATCAATACTTGGATTTACTTCTATATGACATTTAAGATTGCTGATGGCTTGGGTTAACAAAGAGGAAGACAGCTTTTAATAGCTTAGCAAGAGCTGTCTGATTTAAAATGTGAATGCTGCAAGACCACTGAAATGAATACTGTCTCAGTTCACAGCAAATAATTGAATATAATACATGGAATGGCTACTGAAGAACCTAAATTACAAAGATTCGCTGCTAATGGCTTCCATCTGAATTAAGTCAAACTGCATTATAAACAGGAAAAACGCATCTGCTTAAATGTGAGAGATGGGTGCTTTGGTTTATTTTTGTTTGTCTAGCCTACCCTATGTCTATACTCATCAAGATGAAATAAATTCTAACATTTAGTTTTTATCATTTGCCCCTGTAACCCAGTGCACTTTATGGTACATCTAGTACCTTGTTACCCCATGTCTCACACATACACTGCAGAGAGCTTTATCTTTTATAACTTAAAAGGTGAAGATTTAGCTAAGTGTAGTACAGAGTAGTAGTTAGAAACCTGGTGGTAACATACACCTGTGATCCCATGTACTCAGGAGAGAGGCAAGAAGATCAAGAATTTAAGGCCAACCTTGGCAAAGTTAGCTAGACCTATCTCAGAAAACAAGGATTGGGGGACACAAATAGTAAGAGAATTTGCCTAGCAAGCTCAAGGCTTTTGGTTCAATCTTCAGTACTGAAAAAGCAAAAAAACATTTCTAAAATGTTTTTGTTTTCCATAATAAGTCTATATGAATTCTCTAAAATTTATGTTCTGATACCAAAACAATGTTAGAATCAAGTGAGCATTTACATACTTTAGAATGTCATGTAATAAATCTACAAACTGCCTATCTTAAAAAAAAAAAAAAAAAGAAACTACAAGCATTCCCACAAGGCTGCCGCCAAGATTCTCCCAGTAAGGCACAAAGTCAACCATGAGCAGGGCTGCTGGAGTAAGCAGCAGGTGGGGAGTCTTTGGGCTTCAGCACTGGAGCACTTAGCAGGTGCTAGGGGAATGCATCACTGGGCACAGGAGCACAGGCCACGCAGGGGGGGGGTGGCTTGCCAGGTGCAGGGAATGCAGTGAAGACCCCCACATGCTATCTAACTCACACATTCCACCCCTTCACTGGGGCCTCTGGAGGGGGGTGGGGTATGTCTGAAGACTGGCTTCCAGAGGATTCTTTTACAGAAAGGCTGGCTTCTAAGAGTCAAGACATGTAACAGAAAGCAGCATGGATGAATTCTGGGGCCCAGGAAGAGACCCAGGTTGCAGAGCATGGCCTAGAAAGGCCAAGGGGATGGAATCCTCAGCACTGCGGGGAACTTGGGCTCGGCTTTCCTTCTCGATGAGGCGGGCCTGGGAAGCCAGGCCTTACCTGGGCCATGGGAAACATCCTGAACTTCTTCAGTAGGAGTTGAACGTCAAACGTCAAAGCAAGGGGCAAGTTAACATTTCAATTTCAAATTTCCAATCCAGTTTTCTTATTGTAAGCCTTAGACACGCGTGACTCACAAACACACCAGCCCTGGGAGCCGGAGGCCTGTTGCTGCTGTAGGCCAGCCTTGTCTGATCTACACTCCACAGGATTCAGGTGTTAGTGTCTAACAGCCACAGAAAGAGAAAGACCAGCCCTTCTCCACACCCACACCTCCTCCCTAGGATCTAGCCACCTTCCCATTCATCCGCTAAGCTTTCAGCTCCCAAGCTGTAGACAAATGGGGTCAGGAAAAAGCAGCTGAATTATAATCAGGGATGAGGAGACAATTTTCAAAGCCATTCCAGGGGCCACAAGACTGGATGGAGAGGCAGAAAAGAACCATGAAAGGTAAACAAGATTCAAGGTCAGAATTCCAGTCCCACCACACGATCCCTGAGGATCTGGTATATGTTACTTTCTATTGAGTTTCAGATGATTTGATTAGAAAATAGGAAAAATAATGTCTTGCATCTCTCCCAGCATCTACAACAAAATGAGTGCCTGGGAAATACTCATTTTAATAGCAAGTATTTTATTGCCTACTTGCCTCATGACATTTATCCTACATTTATCTTCTATTGGTGCTGGACTTGACCCCCCAGCCCCACCCGAGTTACTCTCATGGGCAGGTGATGGCAGTGGTTGTGTCACAAACCCTTCCTTCCCATACCTCTCACATTTAATGTGGCTCAGTATCTATATCTTAGGAGACTGATTTATCCAGATTTTGAGATTTCTAGGGGACAATAGTGCTTAGCTGTTTCTAGCACTCAAGGCACACAGAATCCTCCCCTTAATGAGTAAAATACAGGGATATTGTACAACTTTTATTTTTTTTCCTTACAAGTAGCCAGTCCACCGAACAGGTAGAGCAGTGGCAAGTTGCACAGGGCTAGAGTGACACTGTCTGGAGTATCCACCATTTTTCAATAGTGTGACTTTGTGAATAATTGGAACTCACCTATAAAATGGGGATATTCAGAGTACCTGCCTCATGAAGTCATTCGGAGCATTTAAAGAATATGTGGAGCCAGGCACTGATGGCTCACGCCTGTAATACTAGATACTCAGGAGGCTGAGATCTGAGGATCATGGTTCAAAGCCAGCCCTGGCAAGAAAGTCCATGAAACTGTCATCTCCAATTAACCACCCCCAAACTGGAAGTGGCCCTGTGGTAGAGTGGTAGAGTGCTAGCCTTGAGCACAGAAGCTTAGGAACAGAGCCCTGAGATTGTGAGTTTGGGTTGCATGACCAATAAAGGAAAAAAAAAATAAAACTAGGGTTGGGAAGGTGGCTCGGTGGTAGAGTGCTTTCCTCGCTGAGGCCCTGGGTTTGATTCCTCAGTACCACGTAAGCAGAAAAAGCTGGAAGTGGTGCTGTGGCTCAAGTGGTAGAGCATTAGCCTTGAGCTGAAGAGCTGAGGGACAGTGCCCAGGCCCAGATTTTAGGTCCCAAAACTGACAAAAAACCTAATTAATAAAAAAAAAAAAAAGGGTATATGGAAAGCATTTAGAGTTAATGTTGAATAAGTACTCTTCCTTATTACCATCAGTCATTATCATTACATCACTATCATTCATTACAATCATCACCAGCACCAACTTTCAGCATCACACTACCACCACCACTACCACCATCATTAGCACCACTAGCATCACCACTACCATCACTGTATTGTCCTCAATAGACCCACCACCATTACCACCACTACCATCATCATTAGTCATGAAATCTCAACTCTTGTTTATTGGGCTGGACTCCCTTGTTTACTGGCAATGCTGAAAATCTCATCCCAGCTGCAGGGCTGGGTTGCCTTTCTGGAAGAGCCAATGTGGCAAAGTGACTTGCAAGCCATAAAATGTATTGTAACTATCAGTATTATAGCTCTTGTACTGTAATATTTCAAAATCTAGACATAGTAACATAAATGTGATCGGAGTTTCTGTTTACCTGACAACCTTCTATGAACCAAATACTGTGCTCACTGCCTCTCATAGGTCTACTCACCTAATGCTCCTCAAGCACCCAAAATGTTAGGATTCTTTTCCTCCCCCATTTTAAAGATGTGGGGAATGACACCCACAGAATCACTCAAGGTTGCAGATGGAGTTCACTCAGGTCTGCTGGCTCTCAGGTTTGTGTTTGTATCTCCTAAGTCATGTGTGGGTTAAACAGAAATGTTCTTTCCAAGATGGCTGGAATGCCAGTGGTTGATTTCCAGCCAGATGCCAGCAATCCTGCTCTCAGATTGTGAGAGTTGTGCCTCTGATCCTTTAATAGGTACATAGCATCTCAACACTGCAAGGCATTGCTTCACTCTGTCAATTTGAACCCCTTTCCCTGGTTCCAAGTTAACTTCTTTGTCTACCTTGGGAGGATCCAGAGCTAGGATGACATTATTAGCATTGAAAATTATGGGTTTTTTTTTTTGGGGGGGGGGTCCGGTTGTGGGGCCTGAACTCTGGGCCTGGGTGCTGTCCCTCAGCTCTTCAGCTCAAGGCTAGTGCTCTACCACTAGAGCCACAGCACTACTTCCAGCTTTTTTCTCTTTGCTTATGTGGTGCTGAGGAATCGAACCCAGGGCCTCATGCATGCAAGGCAAGCACTGTACCACTGAGCCACCTTCCCAGCCCCAAAAATTATGGTTTCTGAGTCTAAGGATTTTCAACCTAGACCAGAGACCATTTTGCTTTCTAGCTAAGATAGCAAAACAAAATATAATCTACTCCCATCTGCAAAAAAAAACCAAAATGTTTTCTTTCTAAAGTCAAAAGAACACTTTATAGCTACAAAAAAAAGACAACAAACAATAGTAGCTTATTCTGCTTTAATATCCCCAAAGATGTGTGCAAATGGAACTACATTGCAAATCGAGGCAGAAATCCACAGACAAGTACGTCTCACTCAGAAGAAAACCGATTGGAGAGAAGGCACCAAAATTTGCACTTTGTTGACTTACATGTAAACAGTAAACTGGGGAAGGGAGAGGAACATTTGCTGTCATTTCATGGGTGCATCCTAGGGATGAAAGATGGCCTGGAGGGCTGGCACTCAGCCTCAGCTTCCGCTACGGTGTAAACAGTGCCTGATGCTAAGGAGACAAACACCCACACAGCGGCAGTGCAGAAGGGCATGAGGAGGAGTGGACATTAAAAGAGCCCACAGGTCCTCTTTTCCTCACCCTCACAGCTCCCAAGGGTATCCCATTGGCAGTGTCTTATGAATGCACCGTTTGTCAACAACTAGGAAGTGGACAAATCAAATCCTAAAAAAGCCTGGGCGAATGCATTTTTGTGTCTGTCCATGCTCCTCAATCAGATGGCGTGGCTGGGCTGTAGGTGGAGGGACATACCCCAGGGGCGGTTTTCTTAGGTGATGACGGTGGGCGCGGTGCGTCCCGTCCTCTCCTGGAGCTGAGAGACCTTCAGAGCAATGGAAATGAGGGGGGCCAACATGACCTGAGGGAAACACAAAACAAAGAACTTTTTCTACCATTTTAAGTATATGCTTAGCTTCAAACCTAACAGCCCCTGATTCCAGAGTCTTCTCCAGATGTCACAAAATTCTTCTAACTCTGTTAAGTCTAGGCATACAATACACATTAATGATTATAGGCATCTAGTAAATCTCAGATCTCAGCTACTGGGAGCCTATGTATCTGAAATCCTGTACCTTTAACCACAATCTCCCTATCCCTGCAGCCTCCAGCCCCTGCTAACTACCTTTCTACTAACTATTTCTGAGTTCAACTTTGTTTGTAGATTGCACATATGCATGAGATCATGCAGAACTGATCAGAGCCTGGCCTATTTCACTAAGGATAATGTTCTCCAGGTTCACCCAGATTGCCACAAATGGAAGGACTTCTTCATCTTTCTAAGATGGA